CTGTTACAAGATAAAGCAGTCTAATTTAATTAGTTAGCTGACTATGGATGACAGTGGAAATTTCTATATGGTGGTTGCTTCCAGTCCCAGATATTACGCTGCTCAACGTCATAATTTTCTGAAAAGGCACACTTTTTCTGTAACATGCTCTTAAGACTTGCATATTTTAGTACGCAAAAGGCAACCAAATGCATGCCTCATAGCATGCCTTTAATTTGGAAATAAATACTCGACTGGTAAGGTCGTTTGTTCTGCTTCAAGTGAACGCAACTACCTCGTTGCCCTTTAAATAGGATAGGTGCACTTGGGGGGTTCAATTTGTTTGGGAACGAGTTCACGAATCCAGGTCAGTTTTGCAAGTTTTGGGTACAATGGACTTTCAAAGCGGATGAACGCGCGATCACGATCGTTGTTCTAATGCTCGTGCCTTCATTCTGTTTGCAAAAGGTACCTTGCGTATTCGCGTAAATGGAATTCCGCTTGAATTTCTTCTGCATACCTCGACCATCTCGGCGGAATTCGGATCCACAACAGCAGAGACCGGCGGCTTCGTGATTGCTAATACAATTGAACATACGAGTCCCAGGAAGTACTTGAGAAGAAGACGACTCGATCGCTGGGACAATACTTTATTCGCCTGACGTTTCGAAATTCGTCGCGGATTCATCATCAGAGACATTAGCAGAAAACGATAGCAGAAACGGGTAATAAACACAGGATTTTGCAGTATTTATAGGATATAGTCATTACTGCAAACATACAGCGATAACTGACGTTAATTGCCTTCTTGCACGTGGATAGTTTGCTGGACGGCATGCAGTCTTTGATTTGTCGAAGTTTCATCACGTGCGGTTGACTCGGGCGTGATGATTGCTGGCCCTCTGGCCCTCCGGTGTTGGCGTAGGCTTACGCGGTGGCCTCTCCGTTCCCCAAGTAGTGACTTACTTTGGCCAACTTGAGTCTCAGCACCGAATATGGATTGGGCAAATCTTTGCACTTGTTTATGGATTGGAGGCCCGTGAACGACGACTCAAGTAATTCTCGGCTCAAACGATTGTCACCTCTTTCGAGAAGTTCGGCAAACTCATGTGCATGTATTACCCGTTTCTGCTACCGATTTCTGCTAATGTCTCTGGTAATGAATCCGCGACAGATGTCAAAACGTCAGGCACATAAAACTTTTGTTCCAGAAATTGAGCTTCGTGATTGCTCATAACTGGGCAAACCTAAACTCTACCGGATGACTATCATGTTCATTGTATAATGTTTTCTTGGGAGAGTTAGAGGATTCTTTTGAAGTAATTGCGAGCAGGTCGAAAGCCTCGGTCGATTGCCGTCTCAATAACATAAAGAAACAGCCTAAGTACAGTCAATGACTTAACGAGGTCTCGGAGCCCAAACCAATTGTTTTACTGAAGACTTCATCGGATGTGTTACTCATATCTAAAAAAAACATTTATTTAACTAGAATCTAACGGCTAAAGTTAAAACGGCGCGGGGATTATGAGCTGCCATTTAAGGCCCACCAAATTCGTTTTATTCTGCCAACCTGCTGTCTCGTAAGACATATTTGCATTTTTCAGAAATTAAATATATAAAGTCTGCTGCCTTCTAGCAAACACAATAAGAGGTTATAATATGTTAAGTCGACACTTTGGTGCTATTTAGAAAATTCGCTTTACCAATCACGACGTGACTGGCAACTTTATACGAACTTATCACACATGCAAATCTCATTTTAAGTTGCTCTGTATATTCCCTTTCCACTAAATTAGGCACGCCCACATAAAATTAGTCAATTTTTCCACGATTGTATCCGCTCGCTTCTTCAAGAGGGTTTAGCATGTATCCTTCCATCTACCCTGCTCTCCTTGCCCAGACCTCGTATCATGATGGCTAAGAGGGGATGAAAATGGTTTTCTTGTGTTGAAAAAGAGCTCCTATCACCAGTTCTAATCACTTTATATTTTCTCTTCCTCTTTTTATCCATTATATGATTTTTCTTTAGTGATGACTTTTAACAGTCTACACAGAGACACAGAATCACCGCGTGATTCTCTTATGCGATATGCGACTGCTTTGCCTCGGGCAAA